GGGCGCAGGCCGGAGGGCGGGGGCCGCCCGGGGCCCCTCCAGGCTGGCTGAAGCCTGAGGTCCGCGGACCACCGTCACCCTGGCCCGGTCACCCTGTGCCCTCCGGCCACAGCCCGAGGAGCTCGGCCTCGGTGACCGCCCGGGCCTGTCCGCGGCTCCCTGTCTGAGATCTCGGTGAGAGGACGCGCAGGGAGCCCCCCCCACACACACCCCTGGCCTCAGCCTGCCCCGTGACGAGGTCAGCCTGGGCTGGGAGCTCAGGCCGAGGCCATGCTGTGTCCATGCAGCGGCTCTGAGCGCCCCCCTCCATCCTAACTACATCCCCTCCCACTGCCCCAAGATGGACACCGCCCCCCCTCAGCCTCAACCTCCAGCCCTGCCTGCCCCACCAAAGGTCCCTTGCCAGAGGATACCCTTCCAGATGGGTGCCCACCGGCCCCAGCTCCCCCACAGTCAGGCTGAGATTCTAATCCAACCCCCAGAGCTGGGGTCCCAGGGACCAGGGTCTGCGCACCAGAGCCTCAGGAGACACCCATGTGCTCCCTCAGACACAAGGCGTGCTCAGCCTGAGCCACACAAACACCATTACACACGCTCTGTCTCACATTACTGTCACAAGCACGGGCTGCAGCCTCCTCTCCTCCTTACGCACTCACCCAGGCACACAGGGGCCTTTCCACTCAGCCCCCAGGAGAGACGGAAAAAGTCAGCCTCCTCGCTGGAGGCTGGTGACTCACACTTGTAATCCTAGCCACTCAGGAGGCTGAGATCTGAGCATCTCAGTTTGAATCCAGCCCAGGCAGAAAAATTCATGAGACTTTACCTCCAATGAAACCACCAAAAAGCTAGAAATGGAGCTGTGGTTCAAGTGGTAGAACAAACAACTTTAAGTGAAAAACACAAAGGAGAGTATGAATGAGGCCCTGAGTTCAAGCCCCAGGACAAAAAAAAAAATTTTTTTTAATGAATTAAAAGGCAGCCTCTGAAGAGAAATAAAGAGGGAAATTTTCCAACAGTCCCCTACCCGTTGCCTTACTGTATATACATTCAGCCCATCGCACACAGGCAGGAAACTTACTCCCCTGCTAAAGGAAAACGGAAGAACCAAATAAGGCCAAATGAAACATGGGAGGCTTTAAAAATCAAAACAGTCCTCAGGAAGAGTGATTCATTAGTTTGGACACTGTGGTGGCCAGCTGGGCAGATCCAGACAGAGAGAGAGAGACTGAAAGGAAGAGAGAGACAGGGCTACCAGTACACATACCAGGAAGTGGGGATGAGGGAGCCTTCATCCCCGCACTACTTCCTTTGAGCTTTTATCCGTCAAGATCTTTGCCAGAACAGAACGCTTGCAGGCTTCCCTCCCAATGTACAGAAGGGATAACTGATAACTGGCTGGGAGAAGAAACCTGATGTCCTGTATCCCAGACAGAGGCCACTACACCATTCCCTGCCAACACTTTACCCAGCCCACACCCAGGCCCTGCCCACCAGGGAGGGGCTTTGGAAGTAATGGCACTTAGCAAGAGCTGGCAGCACATGGTGGGGGTGGATGGGGACCGACTGTCTAGACGGCCTGGTCCCTGAGCTGTGTGGCTTTCGAGGACCTCCTCCACTTAACTTCCCTCCCGGATCTTTCATGTGGTTTGGCGCTGTGGTCCAGGGTGGGGCGGCTTAGACCCCAGATTGAGACACCACCCCGGTTTTTTGGGGTCATATTCCCAGCTCCCCACTTGGCTCTGTAGAGAAGAGGGTAACAAGGGATGTGCCAGGAAGCCCTGGTACAGGGGTGGATCGAGGTCGCCCACACCCTCCGCTCCCATGTTCATAGCTCCAGGCTAAAGGATGGCATCTGCTTTCTGCCAGCCTTCCCCCCTCCCTGGCACGGGCATTTCTCTGCAAGAAGAGCCTGTCACTGCCATCTCTGCTTGTCATGAAGTGTGTCTCTCCAAGTTGCCAACAGCTGGGCACAGTGCCCAGAATGATGCTTCTGGGCCAGCCGGAGCAGGCTCCTGTAATTCCCCAGATATCCCTCTTTATTTTTGATTTTTTTTTACAAAGAAGAGGGTCCCCTCCATAAGGGCAGATAAGAGGGTCCCCTCCTGTGCTGGGGATAAAATCCAGGGCCTTCTGCACACCTGGCAAGCAGCAAGGGTGCTGCTTACACTGCGTTACACCCCCAGCCCTAAGCGGTCCTTTTGTACACATGCCCACAGGTAGGCACATAGCCAGTGAGCTCTTGTATATACACCGCAGTGCACACAGAGACATTCTGGTGCCATCAGGCCTGGGGTTACCACCAGCAGCCATTCGAACATGCTGATCCATAAACATCAGACACAAATAAGCAGAGAGATACACAAGTCCCAAGTCACGGAAACATCCGGAGATACATAAACACACTCCAGTTACACAGGCGCACAGAGATGGCACACGCACCCCCCAGTCACCCAGTTTCCAAGGCAACGAACTCCCAAGAATGTCCGGAGTGAGGCCAGGCAGGGCCGGCTCGGTGCCTTGCTCCAGAGATGAGACAAGGAAAACCCTCAGCTCCTGGAGCCCAGGAGGGGGAGGGCTGGGGAGGAGAACACCCATTCCTTTGTGCCTCCGCCTACCCCTCCACAGGCTGCCAAGCTTTGGAGACAGGCGAGCCCAGACAAGAAGGCTGGGGTAGGGTGGGGGGCAAAGGGAGTTTAGGGTCAGAAGAGAGTGGGAGGGTCCATACTTGGCAGGGTGGGCTTCTGGCTGGGGAAGAAGGGAGCTACTGAGGCCACAGGAAATACTTAAGAATTTCATGGTGGCCTCAGGCCCGCCCTCTCTCAGGGAGCTAAATGATGGGAAGATGGGACAAGAGAGATATAAATGTCACAGGCTCCTGCACCATACACAAAGCAAGAATGCCCGTACCCACGGAAGCCGGGAAGTAAAGGCCTAACCACCTCTGAATTTTGCCTGGCCCCTTTTCTTTGTTGCTCTGTGTCCCACCTGGGTGCACCCAAACCCGGCAGTATACACTGGCTCTGAGACCCTCAGGAAGCACATGGCATGGCAGCCAAAGCCCCTACCAGAGACCCTAGCCTCAGAGAAGGCACGGCTTTCCTGCTACTGTCCACTGACCTGCCTCTGAGAAGGTGGTTATCTACTCTCATCTCTACCCTAAGGCCAGGAGGAAATCGGGAGGCCTGGTTAGTTCCCAGGCCAGCTGTGAAGTACATGGTATTTAAAGATTCTAAGGGGCAGGCACTGGTGGCTCACAACTGCAATCCTAGCTACTCTGAGCATCATGGTTCAAAGCCAGCCTGGGGAGAAAAAGTCTGTGAGAATCTTATCTCTACTAAACTACCAAGAAAGCCAGAAGTAGAGCTGTGGCTCAAAGGTAGAGCATTAAGTGCCTAGGCCCTGAGTTCAAACCCTGGGTCTGACACCAAAAAAATAAATAAATAAATAACAAAAACTCTAAGGGATGTGACAAGGATATGGGAGACAATGGAGTGGGTGGTATTTACTCTGCATGAGGACTTACACACACACACACACATAGATGTTCAGCCAGTGAGCATCCAGAAAACAATGGCACCTTTAGCCTTCATGCTCAGAGCCAGGTACGGCCCCAAGCTCCTGTCACCACACCAACTAGACCTCCAGCCCCATCATGTCGGCTCTTCCCATCCCCTAACGGGCCATCCATTCACTGTGTGAATTGATGCCGTGCCATGTTTCCAGGGGAACACACCTGGCCAGTCAAAGTGCCACCTGACCTATCGTTTATCTGCCTGGTAACCATAGTAATTAGGGGCTTTTTCTTCATGACAGAATGGCCTGGTGCTTTAGGAAACAGAATGGCGGCCATATTCATGACCCAAAAGCTACTGCCTACAGTTCTGCAGCAGAAGCAACGTGTCCTCCAATCTTGCCACCACACTCGGCCCATATCCATCCCCACAGGCCGGCCGTCAGCCTCTACAGTGACTGCAAACACACCTCCCTTTGGGCATCTTGGAACACCACGGATCCCCGCTAGCTATGGTTTTCCCGGCTCTTTCCCTGGAACAGCCACACCGCACCCAGGTCCTCTGCCAGCAGGGATTGGACCGGCTTCTTCCCCTGAGATGTGGGGAGGCAGGGTGAGGACCATATAGACAAGAAACACAGATGGAAGACAAGTTGGGAGCAGGAGATTTTTGAGATGAGCTTATATCCAGAAGCACCTGAGTGTGGCCACTCAGAGAGTTACCATGGCAACCACCACGATAGGCTTCCCCCTCCCCAACATGCACAGGCTTTGAAACAGTGATTCCCCCCTTCTCAGTGGGGAGGGGAGCGGGAAGTACAGAACCTTACCCTGAGTGAGCCGGGTAGGCTGCCGGACAGGAAGCCCATCAATCGTGCACACATTGCCACAAGGGTAGAGGGTGAGGGTCCCCCGCACGTTCTCGATGTAACAGTGCTCTGGAGCCAAGCCTGGGCCCTGCAGGGAGATATCCCGGGCTGCAGAGCCAATCACTGTCCGCCCTAGAGACAAGAGGCACAGGAGTCAGACAGGCCCTCCAGGCTGAGAAGACAACTAGAGTGAGGTGGAAATCAATGTCCACCTCTCACTCCGGGGTAATCTCTGTCCACCACGGAGAATGGGAGGGTCAGGAGCGACGCCACAGGAAGCAGAGTCATGATGGCAAAGAGGGAGGACCTTTTTTCCTCAGCCCTACATGGGTCTCCTAGCTACCTTTCCTTGTTTTGTTTTGTTTTTGTTTTGCCAATCCTAGGGCTTGAACTCAGGGCCTGGATGTGCTGTCCCTGAGCTTCTTTTATTCAAGGCAAGCACTCCACTACTTGAGCCACAGAGCCATTTCCGGCTTTTTCTGTGTATGTGGTACTGAGGACTCGAACCCAGGGCTTCATGCAAATACTCTACCACTAAGCCACATTCCCAGTCCCCTTGGGCTCTTTATCCCCTCTGTGGATACCCCCCCTCTTCTCTTCTAAATCAATCTCTCCTCCTTTTCCTTTCTGCCACTGGGGATCCATCCCTCCCCTTTCTTACTCCCTCTCCCTCTACTGTGGTTTCTCTCCTCCATGGCTCCCTGGCAGAGCCCCCTGGGACTGGTATTTGGAGAATGTGGAGAATGTAGCATCACCCAGGCAACAGGTGCAGCCAGGACCAGAGGGGGAGGGCAGAGCCATGCCAGGGTCTCCTCTTGGGGGATCATGCCCCCACCCCGTCACTCCCTTCCCGGTGGCCAGTCCATCACCCATGCCCCCTGTCCCCCTCCAGTGGAGCCCCTCTCTTCTTGGTCACACAGGTTGCCAAGAGCAATGTGCTCTCCTGTTTGTCTCAGCACTCCCCTCCTGGTTTCTAAACTGATTTTTAATCCCAATCATGGAGCCAGATTAAATGCTAGAGGAGACAGGCGGCCAGGGAGGCAGAGACAATGCAAGCATTACTGCAGGAGGGCCCCCCACTCGCAGAGGCCTGGCCTTGGGGGACTGGAATGGGGGGGTGGCATGCATGTCTCCGCTCACCTTCCTCCAGCGGCAGGAGAGTGATGGCGGTGCTGAGTCTTCCACTGCCCAAGCTCACCAGATGGGGCTTGTCGGTCTGCACTTTCAGCCCTTTGCCTGTCTCAATCAGATCCAAGGGTCCTTTCTGCAGGGAGCAGGGGGGTTGGAGGGAGGGGATGAGCATCATTAGAGACTGAGCGAGCACCCTACCAACCCAGGCCCAGTCACATCAGCACTCTCTCAGCCCTTGTTCCTCTCCAAAGGGTGCTGAGGTGGCTGAAAGGCTTAGCACAAAAAAATCTTAACCAGAGCATTATTCCACTAAATTGTAATTAGATCTGAATCTAGGCCACTAACTCATCCTGCTGGATTTATTTCAAGATTTGGCTCAACTGACCCTTTTTGTCTAGCAAAACAGAAACAAGGAGCGAGCGAGAGAGAGAGAGGTGGTAGAAGCATGGGGCAAGGAGGAGGGGTACCATGGAGGAGGGCCAGTCTGGCTCCTTGCTGGGACTCTATCCATGCGCCTGCAGCCTGTCCCTGATAAACTAACTGTAAGAGCGGTGGGAGGTGGGTGTCAGGGGCTCATGTCTGCAACCCTAGCTACTCAGAGGCTGAGATCTGAGGATCATGGTTTGAAGCTAGCCCTGGCAGGAAAGTTCATGAGACTTTTCTTTTCTTTTCTTTTGTTGTCGGTCATGGGGCTTGAACTCTGGGCTTGAGTGCTGTCCCTCAGCTCTTCAGCTCAAGGTGAGCGCTCTACCTCTTGAGCCACAGCGCCACTTCCGGTTTTCTAGTGGATAAGAGTCTCATGGAGGGCTGGGAAGGTGGCTCAGCGGTAGAGTGCTTGCCTTGCATGCCTGAGGGCCTGGGTTCGATTCCTCAGCACTTAAGAAAAAAGAAAAAAGCTGGAAGTGGCGCTGTGGCTCAAGTGGTAAAGCGTTAGCCTTGAGCTGACGAGCTGAGGGACAGCGCCCAGGCCCAGAGTTCGGGCCCCACGACTGGACCCAAAAAAAAAAAAAAAAAAAGAGTCTCATGGACTTTCCTGCCCAGACTGGCTTTGAACCACGATCCTCAGATCTCAGAGTCCTGAGTAGCTAGGATTAGGATTATAGGCCTGAGCCACAGGCGCCCTTCTGAGACTTTTCTCTCCAATTAATCACCAAAAGAGCAGGAAGTGGCTCATTTGGTAGAGCACTAGCCTTGAGCATAAAAGCTCAGGGACTAAGTTCAAGCCCAGGAATGGCACACAAAAATAAAATAAAAACGAGAGGTGGAAACATGGATCCAGGAGAGTGGTGCTGGCCTGGACAGTCTGTAAACCACTTTCGGACTTTCAAAGGAGAGTTTCTGGCTGAGTCAATTAGCTTGATTCAAATGAAGACTCATCTATTCATAGGCTGGGGACTAGGGAAGGGCAGAGGGGCTGGCTGCTGCCCCATCCTTGAGCTGGCACCACAGATAGAACTAAATCCCTCCTCACCAGCACCTTACCCCCCGGCCCCAACACCACACACCTGCACCACAGCCTGGGGCTTGCATCCGGGGCTTCCCTGGCTTCTGCTGCGTGTGTCCATGGTCCTAGGCCTCCAGAGTTCCTGGGGACACAACGTAAAGCAGCTGAGGTGGGGGAAGCAGGTAGAAGAGGAGCAGTGCTCCTCAGGACATGGGCAGCACCAGCCGCTGTCATTCCCCAGCATGCTCGTGCCAAAGGAAAAGGAGAGGCAGCTTGGGAGCTTGGTTGGGGGAGGGGGGGCACCGCATCTCTTCCCACAGCATGGCAATCACACCATACCAGCCTGGTAGGGTTGTACACACAGCCCTACCCTGGCTTTGGTGTTTTTCTGCTCTTTGCTATCCAGAGCCCAGATTTTAGTTGAAGACCCTCCTCAGCCATCTTGATGGAGTCTTAATCAGGGTGAGGGAAATCAATTTTCATGGCGAGAGCAAACTCCAGGCAAGTCCCTCCAAGAACATGGGTAGAGACAACTCCCCCAGGGTTTAGCCAGGGCTAAATAGGAGTTTCCTCTCCCAATCTGTCTTCTCTTTACCCTTTGTCTCTTTTCCCAGGGGCCTTAGGATGATGCCTTCTTAAAGAAGACACGGAGGAAAAACCAGGCCTTCTCTGAGTAGCTCAACTCCTACACTTTTTCTTCCCCCAGGAAGCAACCCCAACCCAATCAACAAAACAGTCTGGTGCTGGTGGCTTAGGCTTCTAATCCTAGCTACTCAGGAGGCTGAGATATAAGGATCATGGTTCAAAGCCAGCCTGGGAAGGAAAGTCTGTGAGACTCTTATTTCCGATTAACTACCAGAAAACCAGAAATAAAGCTGTGGCTCAGGTGGTAGAGTTTTGAGCAAAAGACCTAGGGACAGTGCCCAGGCCTGAATTCAAGCCTATGACCAACAATAAAAACAAACAACAACTTAAAAAAAAAAAACAAAACAAAACAAGGGCTGGGAAGGTGGCTCAATGGTAGAGCGCTTGCCTTGCATGCCTGAGGCCCTGGGTTCGACTCCTCAGCACTACATAAGCAAAAAGAAAAAAGACGGAAGTGGCGCTGTGGCTCAAGTGGTAGAGCACTAGCCTTGAGCTGAAGAACTGAGGGACAGCGCCCAGGCCCAGAGTTCAGGCCCCACGACTGGACCCAAAAAAGAAAAAAGCAAAATAATCTCAGTGATGACTCCTAGGAACACAAGATTCTTGAGCTCTCCCCTGGCCTGGTGCTGGAGGAAGCTTAGTCCCTACAGCCAGGAGTAAGATGGATCCCAGCAACACAACCTGAGCCTCCCTCCCACCCATCCACCCACCACTCTAATTCATTCCTCTTTCCCAGGCTCAGATTTTTTTTTTTTTTGAGCCTGAGAAATGTAAGGAAAGAACTGTGTGCACTCATGTGTGCACACGCGCCTCTCCCTGGCCTTGGTTGGAGGTGAGAAACTCCCCACTGCCTGCTGGAATGCTATGGGAGTTGCTGAGGGCTGAGGTAAATCCAGGCAGGCAGGCTTCCCTCCACTTTCTCTTCCAGCTGTCTGTCAAGTGACTGGCAGAGGAAGTTGTGGCAGGAACCAGCATTCCAAGGAGCGTCTGCCCCCGGCAGTGGATCCCAAGGGCCTGAGCCCTAGAGTTACTAAATTTACCCTCCCTACTTCCACCCTTCCGGGCCTGGACTGACTGCATCATCTCCGTCACCATTTCCACCCAAGCTGGAGGAAGAGAAGCCGGAATAGTGCTTGGGACCCACCCTAAGACTGCCTGGGAAGAGAAAAGGCAAAGGCTATTAACCCATACCAAACCCTGAGCTGGCCTGGCACTGCCCCAAGAACCCTGTCTTGAGAGAAGAAATTCCAGGGAGAACAGGTGCCTGTGGCTCACGCTGTAATCCTAGCTACTCAGGAGGCTGACATCTGAGGATCAAAGTTCGAAGCCAACTTAAGCAAGAAAATCCGTGAGCCCCTTGGTTTTAATGAACCAGAAAAAAGCTGGAAATGGAGCAGTGGCTCAAGAAGCCTTGCGCACAAATGCTCAGGGACAGTGCCCAGCCCCCTGCTCCCCCCCCCCAAAAAAAAAGGACAGGTGGGTGCATGCACACACACGTTTCCAGGGAGAGTTGTACTGTTTCCTTAAGATTCAGGGAAACCCCTCAGCCTTTTTCTAAAGGAGAAGAGACAAGAGAGTGGGTTGGGATTGGGAAGTTTATGTAAAAAGAGTGGGAAAGAAAAAAAATCATAATAGTGGGGAAGAAAAGACAGTTTCCATTAGTAGAAAATGTTTGGGATGTGGGAGCGTTAAATTCTATTCATTAGCTGCAATTATTATTTATTAGCTGTAATATTTTGGGCAAGTTATTTAATTTCTCTCATTGTCAAGTATATCTCCTATAAAACTATAATAATAACAATAATAATTTAATTGGCTGACTCAGTATTTGCCCGAGCCAGGAGTGCAACAGGGGCAACTCTAGGCATGAGATTTCTTTGGGGGAATGTGTGTGGCAGAAATATTCTAGAATTAAATTGTGATGGTGGTTGCACAGCTCTGTATCATTGCACACTTAAAGTACGTGGATTTGATGGTCTATAAGTTATACCTCTGCAAGCTGTTAGTTATGGAAGGATTCAGGGAGTATACCTATCGTCTCTCTAAGGAGTGCAAAGCACTATGAAGACGCTGGGTGATGTCTGTCTGGGGCTGGGTTTCTTCATTGTCACACTGGATTTTGGTCACTTTCGATGAGGTTGAGGGCACAGCACAGGGGTGATGGAGGAGAGGACGGAGGAGAATCCCGAGGGTTGAAGGAGAGGGAGTGATAAGGAGAGAGGTGTGGGGAGCAGATAAGAGGAGGTGTTCCACTGGGAGGTGTGAGTTTGCGCCCGGCTCCGAAACCTAATCCACCGTAAAGCAAGAGGACACCAGGCCTGTCGCTGGCCCGTTGCTGGGACCCGGGCCCTGCCCCGCGGTGCACCCCCTACCCCCCAAACCCCGCTAGCGGGTCCGCTCGTCCCCGGGGCGGTCACCCACCTCCCTCCCGGGCTGCAATTACCCCGCCCGCCCGGGCCTCCGCGGCCCGCCCCACGGCCAAAAAAAGGCCTCTGTGGTGCCCGCCCGCAGGGCCGGGCGCTCCCGAGCCCTGGGGGCCCCTGGGGTAGGGGAAGGGGGGGTCCCGCGAGGCCGGGCTCCCGCAGCGCACCCCCCAGTTCCGCGGACCTCCTGTCCCCAGCGCCTTGGCCGAGGGGGGCGTCCGGGGCTCCCGCAGGCTCCCAAGGCGGTCCCCGGCCCCCAGCCCGCCCCGCGG